TATGACGATAGCCAGTCCATACCCAAAATAATATCAAAACCCTTCATGGGCATGACAACGAAAGGAAAAGGAAGCCTATGGTCGGCGACCTCTATATCACAACCTTTAACACCTTGTTTCAAGATCAACTCACCACCAACAGGCGATACTACACATATAGGAGATGCTAACTGTGCCAACTCCAATTCCAAAACAGATGCAAATGCAGCAGATACAAAAGAATGAGATGCAGCCGTATCAATCAATACACTAGCAACCGAGTTGCAAAACAGAAAGGTACCTCTCACTACTGATGGAGCCGGTACTAGGTCCTGTGCGGTAACAGCATACACACGCCCTGTAGGCCCCTGATCCAACTGCTCACCCCTCGGAGCAAACGACTGCTGCACTGACTGGGACGACGAAGCTCCCGGATTGGCCCTCGAGGCCTGCACAAACTGAGCTGGCTGAAAACCCCGCGTCTGCCTAGAACCAGACGCGCCCAAAGTGGCACTCAACTGTGGGCAAAACCTCTTCAGGTGCCCAGGATGACCACACTGATAACAAGACAAGGGCTGACCCCTGCCCTGACTATGGCTCTGCAGTCTAGTTGAAGATGAAGCAGCTCTCTGACCTCCTCCCCTCTGTGGGCAAACTGAAGCCTTGTGGCCCAACTGACCACACTTGTAACAGGTGAACTCTCCCTGATTACCTCTTCCCGAGCCTGCCTGAGCCTGCACTCGGCACCGGAAAGGTTGATCTAGCAACACCCCCCTGAGACTGCTGAGGGTTAGCACTCCTCTATCTCCTGCCATCACCCTGACCATCCTGGCTCCTCTTGGAGCCTCTCTATCCCTCCTCTTCCTGCATCATGATCTCCATATGGGCTGCAGCATCAACCAAGCGCCCATAATCTCGGATCATCGAACCTCCAACTCTCATCTTGAGGCCATGCCTCAACCTCTTCTCGAACTCAATATAGCGGCGTTCCTCGGACGCCACAAGTTCAGGTGCGAACCTGGACAAGCTAGTGAAAGCAACCTCATACTCGGCTACTAAAGAACTCAACTGCAAAAGCTGACAGAACTGGTCTCTCAGCTTTTCCCTGACTGTCGGAGATAAATACTTCTCCTGAAAAGCCTCCACAAAAGCCTCCCACGTGCCAGTAATACGGCCCTTCATGTATTTCCACCACTGACCCGCACCCCCTTTAAGCTGGAAAGATGCCAAGGTCACTTTCAACGCTCCGTCCTCGATGACAAGCATCTCGAACGTCTTACTCATTTGGTCTAACCACTCGTCAGCCTTCAGTGGCTCATTCGGATCCCCAATAAACTCGTCCGGGTTGGACCGGAAGAACTCCCTTTCCAAGAAGGAAGGCCCTGCCTCAACATCCTGGGCCTGCACTAGAGCCTGAACTGGATTCTTAGCTCAGAAAATACCCACAGACTCCCTCAAAGCATCGGCTATCCCTCAGGCTAAAGCGCCCATAGCCTCCTGACCTACTGGCTAGGCCACGTTGGCCTGGCCAACCCCCTTCTGTTGTGCCGGAATATCATCCGGTAAAGGCATCTCTTGCCTACCATGTCTGCCACGTCTACCATGTCCTCGTCCTGACATCCTAATAAAGGTAACCAAGACCATTAGCACGTTCACAAATTTGCCGAAGCTATAACACTCACCTCCTAATGCATGGACAACTGTAATTCACTCCACATAAGCACATAATCACATAAGCACTTACGAATTTGATTTCCAGATAATGATAGTCCCGAGGCGTTACTAGAGTTTCGGTTAGAAACAACATTGATCAAGTTCTTTTCCAACAAGACTCACAGAAACCCAAGGATCCAATCAACATCCTAGAAACTAAATCCCATACCCAAGTAGTCACATAAACATGTTATCAAATAAACACACAATGTCACACACAAGTCTCTAACAAGCGAGACAAACCCATTGTGATACTAATCACTTCCCACGTACCCAAAGTATTTGAACCCGGTACGCTCTGATACCAAGTTGTAACACCCTCAAAATAATACATAAAACCCATCTCTTTAGACATGCATTGATACAAAGAAACCAACCATCTTTCCATTAATCTGAGTAGTTCTTACAAAAGTATTACATGTTAACAACAAAAGCAAATGCCCTACGGGCTTACAGCTTTCCAAGTTAACACTTGGTTACAAAAAGAAGAGTGCTAACTCAATATATATTAAGCCCTTGGCTTGAATTTACATGTAATACATCAAAAGAAAGCAAATAATAGAGCAGTCTGTCTGCCTCTAGCCTCCCAAGCTATGTCCTTGGACGTGGCATGCGACCTATACCTGAAAATGATGTCCCATAAAGGGTGAGCCACAGCCCAGTAGAAATACACTAAACCAGCCATGAACAATGACTAAAAGACTAGCAGTTGGTAGATGGTCAACACATATACATCCACATATATCACATTTCGATTTCATGACATTAAGTCCATGTTACATTTCATTTCTCATTTCTTTTCAACTTTGAGTTTGAAAATGAGGCTCAAAACTTAGCCAAATAACTTGATGAGAATAAGACTCATCTTAAAAACATTTTTGAAATTCATGGTGGATACACATTTTGATGCTGTATCAATAACACATAAGCCACTCCCACACTATTCGAACGATACACATTGTGGTGCTATATCAGCATGACATAGAAACACTTCTATACTTCACAATTGATAACGATATACATTTTAGTGCTATATCAAATCAAACAAACACTTCTAATTCGCAGCCTGATACACATTGTAGTGCTGTATCACTGTCACAAGAAAACACTTCTAATTTGCGGCCTGATACACATTGTAGTGCTATATCACTGTCACAAGATTCGGTTTAGAGGTTCAGCCCCTTTCTTCCAATAAACCGTGGAGTACAGCCCCTTTCTCCTCCCATACAATACAATGTATATAAACAATTATCATATACAAATTCAACCTATCAATGCACATTTTAGTGCTGTATTGTACTGACCACCATATTCAATGGCTTACTTAATTGATTAATTTTAGTTTGCCTAATCATCATGCATTGTCTACAACAATCAAGACTATCCTCCACCGATAGCTCAAAGCAGTTATTTCTATACCGAAAATAAATGCACCAAATGGATATATAATCAACATTTCAACTAGGTGAGCGATGAACGAATCTACTACACCTTTTAATCCCATACACATCCAATTCCAACATTCTCAACTTAATTCCTCTTTTCTTCAAATTAATTATTCCAATTAATCTATTAATGTAATTAGAGCATTTCTCATAATTAATATCACAACCCTAAGGTTCCATTTTCACCAATAATCCCATAATAATCTCATTTCTCTATGCCAAACATGCATATAAGTTTATATAAACAAAACCCTGACTTTTTGTAAAATTACACAAAGGCCCAAACTTTCTCAAAATTACCGAACAACCCCCAACTCATCAAAATACTAAAACTCAAAGACAAAACTCATGAGCAGGAGTAGGATATCCCTACCTCGAATTAGAGCTCGAACAGGAAAGTTAAAGAAAACCAAAATGCTCCAAACTCAAAGATCCACGGATCAAAATGGAGCCCTCGACGATCCACATACTTTTTACAAAGGCCGGAGGATAGTGAGACACTCTAACTAGATCAAACCCTAAAGAGAAGGGAGTTTCTAGAGAGAGGAGCTCTCAAAATATCTTTTTAGAAAGTAAGAGAGAGAGAGAGAGAGAATGCAAAAAGTGATTTTAAAATGCCCAGCTGCCGACTGATATACGACATTCCCGCTCGAGCGGAGAACACAACACTAGAGCGTCAAGAAAAAAAAACTAGGCACGCTTGAGCGCAAGAAGGCCCGCTCGAGCGCCAAGACACAAGGATAAAGTACATCCGCTCAAGCGCGAAACCTAGTCCGCTCGAGCGTAGATTTCCCCCTCCCAGAACTTACACCAAAAAGTACTACCCGCTTGAGCGCCAGAGTACCCGCTCGAGCGCGACCGCTCGAGCGTAAAAATCACACTTGCAGAAGTTTTGCAGGGACACGAAATACTAGGAGTGTGCAATCTGCACTCGAGCCCAACAAGGCCCGCTCGAGCGCAACGACCAAAAAGCTGGCAACAGGATTTCAGACCAAGGTTCAACGCACTTGTTCGAAACATGGCCAGCCATCCTAAAACTCAAACAAATGGAATTAAAGGACGACAACAAGATAGATACAACTACCAACTCCACGGAATCGAGTCTGGAATACAATAGAACAGTAAAGGGACAACGGGGATCGCTATAAATCGGACATTGACACTTGTGTAGAGACCAAAGTGAGATTTTACCAAAAGTATAGGGGGTTAACTGTTAAAGTTTTATGTGCAAAGACCAAAGTGAGATTTGACTAGAAGTGTAGGGGGTAGATTGTCACGATTTCATGTGTAGGGGTTAAAGTGAGATTTGGTGCAAAGTGCAGGGGTGCAAAGTGTAATTTATCCCATTTTTTTAATCTCTCACATTGTATAAATTATTTATTTTGATGTTATCTACAATTTAATAAAAAAAAATGTAACCAAAGTTGAATTTTTATAAATTAATTAACTGAACTACGCTAAAAGATAGTGCAACTTGGGCACAAAGTTGAATTTTTATAAATTAATTAACTTAACTTGGGCAACTAGGTCGATTTTCACCACCTAACTTAGGTTGAGCTTGGACAGATAAACTCTAGCATAGATCTTATTCTTGTTTGTGTTTCAAATCATCCACTCACTTGAAATTTACAATCAATGTCATAACAGAAATTCTTAGCACAATCACTATTTTGTCACTTTTGATTATTTGGAGGTGAATGTGTAATCAGATTGCATAAATTAGCATGTTTTTCTTTCTCTTGCTTTTGTAAATAAAATTTGAAATTTCTGTCTAACGGCCATTAGAATCAATATTGAAGTTTTCTTTAGAATTTTTCCTATTAACTACAATCCTCTTCCTTATTTGCATGAATAGGCCACACCATGGAAAGCATTCATTCAACCATTGAAATTGGGAAGAATTTGTGTGATTTAACTGGAATGTGGGATGGATATCACAATAACCTTGATACTAACATGGAAACTCTCGAAAGGAAGATAGAGCAATTGAACAGTCGAAACAATGACATAAATGAAGAAGTGAATTATGCACAACAGCGGTCAAGGAAAAAACGAAGGGTTGAAGTTAAACTTTGGCAAGAAGATGTGCGAAGGATAACATATGATGTCCGAACTTTGGAAAGACAAGAGCCAGAAGTACAAAGATTAAAGAATGCCTTCAAACGCACAGAGTTGGGAAAGCGTGTAGTGGAGATGATTAAAGAGGTGGAAAAACTGTATGAAAATGGTGGATTTGCTAATGGTTTGCTGATTGATGATCCAACTTGTGGACACGCCATACCAATAGCGGAATCTTTGAATGAAACCACAAGTGTAAGGAACAAGGAGAAAATTTGGAATTTCTTGATAGATGGTGCGGTTCTAAAAATCGGTGTTCAGGGAATGGGGGGAGTCGGCAAAACAACCATCATGAAACACATCAATAATCGACTTTTGAATGAAACTTATAACTTTAGTGATGTTATTTGGGTCACAGTATCTAAAGCATTCAAGATCAAAAATCTACAAAGGCAGATAGCTGAGAAACTGAATCTTGATCTTTCTGATTACAAGGATGAATTACATTCAGCGTCAGAAATACATAACATGCTTTCCCAAAAGAAGAGGTATGTGCTCATCTTAGACGATCTTTGGAAAGCATTTCCTTTGGACAAGGTGGGTATTCCGGAACCAACCAGAGATAACATATGTAAGCTAGTGTTAACTACACGATTGTTAGAAGTCTGTACAAAGATGAATTGTAGAACTGTTGAAATGGAGCTTCTCGCGGATGAGGAAGCACTGAATCTATTTATGAATAATGTTGAAGGACATCAGACAGTGTTTACACCTGAGGTGAAAGAAATTACAAAAGAAGTCGCCAAAAAATGTGCTTGTCTACCGCTTGCAATTATGACTATGGCTGGATGTATGAGAGGAGTGAATGACATTCGCGAGTGGAGAAATACAAGAAATGCACAACAGCTCATTGACAAAGAAGAATGGTTATTTGAGCAACTAAAATTTAGTTATAGTCGGCTAAAAGATGAACAGGAACAACATTGTTTCTTGTATTGTGCATTGTATCCAGAAGACAATGACATCGATAGGAAAGAACTGATAGAGCATTGGATTGCCGAGGGTCTAATATGTAAAACGGACAATAGAGAAGCAATGTTAGACAAAGGTCACACTATATTGAATAACCTCATTAAAACTGGCTTGTTGGTAAAAGCTGATGACATATATGGAGAATACATGAAGATGCATGATTTGATAAGAGATATGGCTCTCAAAATAACATTAACTAATCCTCAATTCATGGTCCGAGCTGGTGAGGGATTAAAGAGAGTTCCACAAAAAGACTGGTCTGAGGATCTTGAGAGGGTTTCCTTAATGTGGAACGATATTGAACAACTTCTTTCTATACCACCTATTTGCCCTCACCTCACCACCTTCCTATTTCAAGGCAATACGTCAAAAGTACTTCGGATTCTAGATTCTTTCTTTTTGCATATGACTCATTTGAAGGTGTTGGATTTGTCCTACACTGCCATAGAGTCTTTGCCAAATTCCATCTTCATGTTGGAAAATTTGCATCAACTGTTACTGCGTGATTGTTTTCAACTAAAATATGTGTCGTCACTAGAGAAACTAAAGGCATTGGAACATTTCAAACTAATTGGTAGTAAGATTGAAGAAGTACCCCAAGGTATAAAAGAATTGGTTAATCTCAGAAAGCTAGAACTCTCGCATAATGACATCCTAGGTATGTCTCCTTGCTGGAAGTTATGCAGGCTCACGCAACTCCATTACCTTAGAATTCAGAGAACAAAAGTAGAACTCTCAGCGGAAGAGCTGTTGTACTTAAAGCAATTAAAAAATCTCGAGGTTCAGTTTCACAATGTGTAAGAGCTTACGAAGTATGTGAATTCTGTGCAATGCAAAAGTTTGAAAAGCTACGAACTTGTGGTGGGAATTGTTGATATAATTAACCCAGCCAAGGAAAGAAAGAAAGTCATTTGTGAGCATAGCTCTAAATATTTTTCAAGTCGTGGAGTCGATGCCGTAGTGCTCCCCAGCAACATAGAGGACTTCCGCATTTGCAGATGGGACAATCACATTAGCTTATCAGATATTCAGTCGTTAAGGGCTGCAAGAGGTTTAAAAGAATTTAGAATCAAAAATTGTTGGGGGCTTCAATCTATCTTTTCACCATCGTCATGCTTGTCAGAAGACTACCACATCCCGCTAACAACGATTGAGAAATTAAAGTTTTCTAATTTACCCAATTTTAGGGTACTCTTTGATAGAGTTGTTCCACCACACAACATTTCATTTAACCTTAACCTATTAGAGTACTGTGAATGTCCGAAAATCGAGAATATTTTCTCTGCCCTGTTGTTGCACAACTTCCCAAACCTTGAGAAACTTAAAGTTTGGTACTGCGAGAATATGGAGGAGATAATAGTAGAAGTAGAGACGAGTGATCAAGAGGGGCATCATGAAGATGACGGCAACACAATCACACTCCCAAATTTAAAGATATTACATCTAGAAAACCTACCAAGACTGAAGAGCAAATACAAGGGCATAATGGTCTGTGAATCTCTGTAAGAAATTGATATATGAGACTGTCCAATGTTAAGGAGACTGCCTATTTCTTTGCACATGAATGAGGATGGCGAGCAAGCTTATGCACCACCTGCTCTTCAATACATTCGTGGAGGAGAAGAATGGTGGGAATCTCTGGAATGGGATAATCCCCTCACCAAAACCACTCTTCAACCTTTCTTTCTCAGGTAATTTTGTTTGTAACATCATGTTAGATTTTTTTTCAAGGATGAAAATTACGATGGTTCTTATATTTTAGTTTTTTTTTTATTATTTTGGTTTTTATAGTTTCAATTGATTTGATTTTAATCTTGAATTTATGACTTTGTTTCAATTTGGTCCAATTAATTACAATTCTTAACATTTTTATGAAAAATATGCATATAAATGACATGTGTCATATTTTTTACAACAAAATCATAAACTTACTCAATTCATTGATTATTTTTCTTTTAAAAACACTAATGAGATTATCAATTAAACTAAATTGACACAAAATCTTAAATTAAATGTCAAAATTGAACTACTTGAAAATGTAAAAACTAAAATGACATAAATAGTAAAATATATTTTCCCTTTTTTTAAATATGGCAAATTGTATTTAAATAAAAATGCCTAATTTTTTTTAAATTAGCCCTACATGTAGCGAAGTCACTGCAACACATTGCATTAACTATTTGTTTATGATTTTAAATTATGAGGAGGAGGAGGAGGAGACTGAACCTCTTGAAGAAGAAGAAGAGATTGAATCTCTTGAAGGAAATGAAATTGAATAATATTGAAATCATCATTAAAGTAATTCAAATCCCTTCTTATTTTACATTTTCACTCCATTAGATTGGGTGATTTGGTGAGAAAAGATTAGAAATGATGAGAAAGAGGACTCCCGTGATTTCACAGAATTACTTGAGAGTCTGTTGGGATTAGAGTGGTTGTTTGGTATTTAGACCAATTTGGATAGGGTTATAGATGACAATCACTTATTAGCCTTTTGATTAATTGATTTTATGCAAAAAAAGCAAAATACCCCAGGAACAACATGATTTATACTTTATTTTGACAATCATATGAAGGTAGAAACAATTGTTCTTCCCTCGTTATACTTATTTTCCTCAAAACTAGTCAGTTTTGAATGAGGTATGGAAGTACTTAACTTTAACATAAAAGATTTAGGTACACAAAAACTAACCACATAAATACACAGAACATTCACATTAGTATAGATTCAATAATTTATTGGCCTCGCACATGTAAATATTTTGTGTAATTATTTATGATGATTTTTACATACATAGAACCACTATTATTTTTATAATCTTGTTGAATTTCTTGTTTATAGGTTTCGATTCATGAACTCTTGAGTGTGGATTCATTTCACTAGAGTAAGTCATCTCATATGACATCTAGAATTTCTTTTAACTGCATATTTTGGTTTGAAAATGTTTTAACATTGAGTAATGAAATCACCTCTTAGTTATGGATACAATCTCTCCAAAGATGAGGTAAGGTTGCATACGTTTTGTCCTCTTCAGATTCTGTTTTAGTCGGAGTCTTGTGTCCCGAGTTGTTTTTATTTTTATTTTTTCTATCTATAGAAATATTTTATAAGATCATTGTGGATTCATGTACTTTGTGAAGGATATGAATTTTGTTTGACAATAATGTGAACCCAAAGCGATTGGGAGTTAACTGTTGACACATAAGCTAGTTTCTTTTGATTTTGGACCATGGAGCTAAATATGGTTTTGGCTTTATTGTGGTCTCTCCCATCTAGTTGAGTAAAGAAAAATGACGTGTTTTCTCACTATCATATTTAGATTGGTAAGAAAGCAAACCATGTGAGAGAGAAATTTGAGTGAAGTTTATTTTTATTCTTTTTTATTTTAAGGGATAATCTTGGTATTGTAAATATTTTACAACCAATCAACTTGTTTCTCACCAAATCTCACAATTTTTGGTAAGAAATCAAATAGTCAAAAGAAGAGACTTCTCTTTCTCACTATTTCTCACAGTTTGTCTCCATTTCTCACCTACTTAACCCTCTGAACAAATGTTTTCTTTTCTCACCAAAACTATATGATTCAAACGAATTGTAAATCCTACGAGTTATAAAATTCTATGATTATGGAACTCACCTCATTGGAATGATTTTATGTAACTATTAACTAAAGTACATAACATTTTCTTTACACTCCTGAATCACAAAAAATTATGTTGTTTAACTTTATTAATTGAAATTATTCTTTTTTTGTATAATTGATTCAGTTAGTTGTTGTAGTAGTTAATTATTGAGCTATCAAACTAATCGTTTTCCTCTTGATTACAGATCCAGAAGATTAGTGTGGTGGAAGCGGTGGAAGTTATTATTAGGATAGAGTGCTACAAGTAGAAGTTATTTTGAATTGTTATGTTGCGACATTAATTTAAATTATAAACTCTTGTTTCCTTTGATGGAGGCAATTAATCTTTGAAATATTCAGATTATGGAACTCTAGGTTTGGCATGCTCTAAATATTAAACTAGCTAAACTGAATTTGTGGATTGTTGTTGAAACTTTTGGTATTGTAAATTAAAGAATTACTGATTGTGATTTCTTCTCCTGATTGCTATGATTATTTGGTGGAATGAAATTGAATTGAGTTTCTTACCATCTTTTTTTTGCATGCTCACAAGGTGCTGTAAGTCTTATAGGTCTGTGACATTGTCACATGTCTAGCTTGGTTGGCTTTGAGGCATGACATTCTTTCTTTGTTTTCAATGTTGTGTCGTTATTTTTCTGACTTGATGTAGGAAACGTAACGGAAAGGAACCTTTATCATTAATTATGTGAAGGAGTTTACAAACATCAATCTCTAATTCAGATCATTGGGATTGGTTTGTTTGAAAGAAGAAGCACAAGACAAAAGAGTTGATGAAGATGCTCTAAAAATGGCCTTTTCTATGTGTTTGCATCAAAATACTCGTCAATATCAGTAGTGAGTTAGTTGCTTGCCCTTAAGTAGATTGCCTATTTGTTTGTTCATGAATGAGAAACGTGAGCAAGCATCTGCACCACCTGCTCTTCATCACATTTATGGAGTTGGAAAATGGTGGGAATCTCTGGAATGGGATGATCTCCATACCAAAACCTCTCTTCACCCTTTCTTCTCCAATAGCTACCCATGTATTTGTACTCATTTTTTTTCATCAAATTTGAGTGAAAATTTGATTCCAAGCTTGATCTCCTATAAAACACTCCAATTTGTTTTTTAGATAAAATATTTTTGAAAAATTCTAAACTTAACCAAAAACTTGTTTTAACTATTTTGTATAAAAGAAAATCATCCCTAATATTGTTTTTAGAATTTTATCAAATTTGAATAAAAATACCACTGTTTGAAATTTGGTGAAGGATTTGATTCATCATTAATTTGGTGCAAAAATTGCCACCGATGGTTCAGCTGATTGTAAATTTTGTTTTGATCGTTAAGGACATTAGGTAGCGTTTGGTTCATTGGAATGAAGTGGAATTGAATGATCATTTTATCAAAATATTCATTCCCATATATGGCTAAACTAAAAAAATAATTACAAATGCATTTCAAATAGAATCATTTTTCACCATTTTAAAGGAATAGTAATCACCATTCCATTCCATCTCATTACAATCAACCAAATAGAGCATAATTTTCTTTTGTAAGAGAATTGCGATTTAACTTTTTTATTATCAAAACTATTTGTGATGATTGTTTTATTGGTATCGAAATGTTTTATATGCTCATTCATGTGTTTTGTCAAGAGTATGAATCCAATTTACTCTGATTTGGACTTAAGGATATGAAGGTTAAGTATGGACACAGAAACTCTACTTTATTTTTTTCTTTGACCATATAGCTAAACTTGGTTTTGGATTTTTCTGACCAGTTGGCAATTACTGCGGTTACAGTTGCAAAAACTTGAGTTTGTGTTTATCAAACCTTTGAGTTTTGGATTTGAATTATTAAATTTGTTCATATATCGAATCATGAATCCTATGAGTATCTAAGTTGTATGATTAGTGAACTCACCTTATTGGAATTATTTTATCTCTAATGATAATTGAATTGTATAAGTATGACTTTTTCTTCACACTCTAGAATCACAAAAGGTTTTACAAATTTCTTTTGTAGTTTTAGCTTGGCCTATTGAAAATTTTCTCGTTTTCATATACTTTATATATTTTTTTTAATACTAAATATCAAACTAATTGTCTTCTTCTTCTTCTTCTTCTTCTTTACAGGACCAGATGAATAGTGTTGCTCGGGTTGTAATTGGGATGAATTGCTAAAAAGCAGAAGTTATTTTGAAGTATTTGGTTGCAACACCTAAACTGAATTTGCAAACTATTGTTGAGACTTGTGATACTATGGATTAAAGGGGATTATTGACTGATTTTATCTCTTTGATTGACATGATTATTTTGTGGAATGTGATTGAATTGGTTTTCTAATCAGCAGCGCTACTGCTACATGATCACTTCTCATAATTCGAATCTCACTCCCAACTCCTCTTAGATCTCACAAGTGTTGTGCAAAATTGTAGCTTCTTTGATTTCCTTCCTCAATCAAGGCTTTGAATCAAGGAACTCTCAACCAACAACGAAATTGTGATCCAACCGCCACAACCACCACCCTTCCACCTCCGACCACTACCCAGCTCTCCCCCACCCGCATGACAATGTTGGGTTAATATTGAGATATTTCTGACACTAATATAACCCGATAGAACACAATGCATATCTGATTGTGTTCTTATCAAGTTTGTTCTCTCCTTAATTAGAAAAAAAAAACAGTACTATATTCCTCAATTTGGCAGACATAAATTAAGATAGAAAGATAAACTGACCATTTTGTTAGTGTTATCTATCCCATGATTTTAATTTAGAATTTGGGTTTCTATTTTAGTAAATTAAATTTAATTTGATGTATTACCATTCATGTGTATAACTAGTAACACAACTTCTAGTAATAATAAATACTCCAATATAGTTAGGTTCTGAGTAACCTCTACAACCAAACCATTCAACAAATGGAACAAAATATCTAAAAATTTCAGTAAGATCAATCTTAACTCCGCAACACCACTATGGGTTTTTAATAGGCTCACTTTTAACCTAAATCGTTTGTGTGATAATATAGATATATGCGTGTGTTTATGTAATGAAGATATTTGCTCATTGCATGGTGTATAAGGTGGTAGTGGTGTAGAACTAGCCTGCAACAGTAGGGTCCTATGTTCTATACACTCCCTAAATGCACAGTGGCCACTCAGATGCATCCAGAACCTACAACATTAAAGTATAATTCTTTAGGCATATGAATAGAATTTTTTAAAAAAAAAATTAAAATTAAAATATAGTAAGTAAAAAAACAATTTTGCACTAAACCTAGAAGGCATTTGAACTCCGTTCTTTGCTTGAAATTAATTCGTCATTTGCTCGATGTGTGTAGTGAGTTCTGCCCTCAGCTCCCTTTTGAGCTTCTCACACATTTGTTGTGTGTTTTGGACAATCATTGAGCCCTACTCCTGCATTAACTTCTCCCAAACTTGTTGAGTGATCTCGACCATCATTAAGGCTTGGGATGCAAGTGATGGGCCCATACTATGTCCATACATCGCACTCTGAGGCGTATCCTCCCCATATGTTTGAAAATACCCAAGTTGTGTCACCGGAGGGACTAGGGCTTGTCAAAGAGTAGCCAATTATACTTGTCCTACATTTTAAAAACACAAGTACACAATGACGCAAAAAAAAAAAAAAAAAAGATGGTGGAAAAATTAAAAAAGAAGAAAAACACAATACTTGATGTTGTATCTGCGAGAAGTGTGTCTGCCCCATCGTAAGAGGTGGGCCACGAAGCTCCCAATTGCAAGAGTTTTGAGTCGATATCTGCTGTAACATTAGTTCCACATTTATAATATTAGCTAAACGTTTAAAGTGATATTTAAATTTTTAGAAATTAATTTTCACTAATAAACCACTACGGCTGAATTATTGCTCCAATAATCCGGTGAGTTACAATTACCATATGTGAGGGGAATTTGGTGCCGTTACGCACTATCTATCCAAGTTGGCCATTCAAGGATGCATCTTGATCCCCTACCGGCTGGAATGTACTGTCAAATTGGATGTCCATCCTAGCACCAATATTCCACTCCTTGATGCCCCCAACATAGCCTTGACTACAACTAGTCAAGGTAGAGTTAAAAGTTGCTAGGCTTGAGAGAAACAATGATAATGAACAAGTTAGACATAAATAAAGTATGGCATGATTTAACATAGCAATTAATGTAAAATCATTAAAGTTGTACATACCTGAGGTGGGATGTGATGATGATGGTA